CCAAAAAAAAGAATTTCTCTGAAAATATGTAAATACCATAATTGAGTATTATAGAGTATTTTGCATCAACTACAGATGTCTCAAGATGGAATTTTCTTTCTAGCTCATTTTGTTAGAAACATTTCATTTTCCCCAAAAAGAAAAAAACACACACATAATGAAAAGCATGTCTTACTGCTAACAAAAAAAGAACTCCAAAACACACACACGCCCACCAGTAAAAAAAGTCTGCAAGACAGGACTCATCTTTTATGATCCCAAACTCCCAGTTCAACCTCTTTGTGCGAATTATCTTCATCTTCTTAAGACCAAGCAAGGACTCAGAGCATATTCACTCAAAGGGCACAGAAGTGTCCCCTGGTCTGTCAAGAAATTGCTGTGACAGCCTTTCGGATTAAAACAAGGAACTAGGAAGGAATGACAGCTTAAAAATTTGTATATAAGAAGGGCAGAGAGGGGAGGGTATATTACTCCTTTTTTCCTCAAGGATGACAGTGACAGAAGAAACAACAGCCCAGCAGGTTCAGGGGATATGGAAACCACTCAAGTGCATTCCTCCTCAGGAAAAAGGAGGGCTGCTTCACTCCATCCAGCTCTGGAGGGTCTGTGAACTTAAAAATAGCTCCTGGACCAAAAAGAGAATCAAAAGGACTGTCACTGATACATCATAATTGGAGCCTGGGTCTCAGGTCTCCTATGATCCCATCACATTACAGTTGGTCTTTTTTGGATGGCAGTGTGCTTGCAGGTCGGGAGGGCGGTAGCCGGGGAGGATGTGGGACACTGCTGATGTGCGGGGTAGTCTGATCCATGACAGCACACGGACGATGCAGAGAGGAAACGTGTGCAGCACAGCACAGCACTAACACTTGACACCACACTACTGACCTCAAGGTCTCACTTCATTGACTTTTCCTTATTGTTCACACCTGGGATGTACGTCTTTCAGTGAATGGGGTCTAAGATTTTAGAATAATTAATACCAGAGAGCAAAACTCAGATGTTTCCATTGGATCAAAAAAGAACCAACCAACCAGTAGCGGCAGAGGACACTGACTGCAGAAGAGCAGAACTGAGTGTCAGAGGGGGAGGGGACCTCAGAGACGAGGCCTGGAAAGGGTAACTGCCCTGCCCCATGGTCTGACAGCTGGTTAAGCCAGCCTGGTACCATCCAATGACCCGCCTGCCACTCCACACACAAGGGAGGAGAGAGCAGCAACGCAGAGGAACAGAAGGCAGCAAGTCTAGGAAAGGGGCCAACAAGTGGATTAACTCAGAATCCTGGAACAATCTGTACTTCCAGGAACAAGGCTATTCCATGTGAGCACCAAACACGATCCCTCCAACTTCAATTTCAGCAAGTGAAACTTACAGTGACAAGGTATCTACGGTGAGGAAACCAAATTATAAATTCCTGGTTTGAGCCTGAAATGCCACCCCCTTGGTAATAAATAAGTAGAAAAGAAAATGATGCCCGAGTTTAATGTGGTTTTCTTCTGAATAGCTACACTCTCCCAATACCTTTCTGAGGGCGGAGTGATTCTTCTCCCCGGAAGTTTTAGTAACTCAGTTGGTGGCTACTACCAATGCTTCCAGGCCCGTTCTGAGGTACAGAACCAGCTTGGGTCGACCCAAACTCATCACCTGTCCAACCAGCAGCCCTGGGGCGGTCAGACGGGGCTCACGTTTGTTATATGCTAGGTTAGTCCACCACCCAGAACGGACAAGCCGCCGACTTGAGGATTTGAGTGTCTAGGGACACTCTGAAACATGTCAAACACCCAAAGCCACGCGGGTAGAACCAACCCAGTTTACACTCGAGTTCAAAGTGGTGACAACAATGAAAGCCCCAAGTTGATATTTCTCACCTAAAATTTAAATGAAGCCAATTGACATATGTTCTAAAAAAATGCCTTTCATCTTTAAAAAAGGGCCTTAGAGGTTCAACGGATGTGACTAAGGGCTTTTTAAGAACCATATTTTAAAAAGCCTTCTGTGGCATGTTTCTTTCGTATGGTTACAATCGTGTATATTTCAAATCTAAGACAAGAATCTATTTTCTTGGTTTTATCAGTTTCTGTGGATTTGAATGGAAACTTTTGGACCTGATGGAGAATTAAAGATTGCTCAATATAAACCTCTGTCAATGCAAATTTCCTTTTTTCTAAGTGCCATTTCCCGTGTAATCCAAAGAACCGAATGCATGCTTTTCTATCTATTCTAAGCCTTCTTGGAAGAACAACCATCTACTAAAAACCAAACAAACCCCTAACATTACTCACTGCCTATATTAGCAATTTCTATTTTATACATATAATTTTAAATTCTGTTACCTATGCTAAAGAAAACGTTCTTGGAATCGGAGGAAGACAGTTAAATCAAATTTATAACATGATAAACTATGAGGTTGTTGTTTACATACAGACTTTTTTATGGAATAAATGCAAATTTAGTCCTTTAATGAAATACGTACTCTTCTAATAATTTTTATTAAAATGGAAAGCTGTATTCTCTCAGAACTTAATTGTGGTGAGAAGGGTGAATTTAGCGACCAGTTCACTGGTATATTTGAATCGTGTAACTACTAGGAGTTACATGCCTTTAAAAAGTGAGGTAAAGGAGAGCACTTTTCAGACGTGCATTTCTTCTCTTTACTCTCTGCCGCCCCCCGTGCCCTCCTCCTCTCCCTCGACCTGGGAATCCCGTGGCCCTACACCACAAGCGTCCAGAGGCTCTGCTCCACGCTCAATTTCTGAGTATTCAATATGCCTCATAGAAGTGGGTCACAGCCCAGTGACTATGGTCTTTTGGCTCAAACACTTGACTGAAGTTTCAGCTTTATTTACTCTGTATGTTAAATTAATCAGCAAGTATTGGAGGCCTACTGCAGGCCTTAAATGATGCTACCATTTCAGTTGAGAGAGTTTATGTACAACGGACAACATTTATAAGTGACAAGAAAAGTCACTTTCTTGCTTTCTCGATCTACACGTATACAGATTTAACAGAAATAACCAGTAAATGCGGCAGTAATTCTTTTAACATCCTAAGTTATTATGACCAAGTCATTTACTTACTCTCTCACGAGGATTGTTACTTTATGAACTATTTAGAAAAAAGACATAAATTTACAAAGTTCATATTTAAGCATTTTTCAAATGTATCCTTACCAAAAAACTCAGTTTGCCTCTTACGTGAATCTGTCATTGGTATTCAACAAAGGATTTATCCTAGAACTCCATTTATGTTGAAGCTGAATATTCCTAACCATCCTAATTTTATTGTTTTAAAATGGGAAGGTTTCACTTCTCCAGTATTATTAACAGATATAAACACCTCTTGATTCTCAAAGATTATCTAGAGACAACATAAAGGTAATAAACCTAATCCACAGCCTATTTGGATGTTGGGAACAGAGAAAATCTGTATTACAACCTCACTGTATTGGCTCATATGAATGGCCTTTCTTGAAGGGTTACCAACTTCAGCTTCTAGTCAAATGTGCTTATACTCAAGACAAAACTATTCGTAAAAAGTAAACGTTCTCCACGTGTCTTTATGCAGCCAAAGGTGCCTAGGACAATTTCGTTCACTCAGATTCACGAAGATTCCTTACACATACCTCAAGTTTTGACTTCAAAAGCATCTAAGTATAAATGTTAAATGGCTTCTCATGAAGTCAGAGGTATTAAGCGTCACTAATTCCAATATTCTCTTGGGATATCTTTCTCATTCCTTGGAGCTTCGAGATGTACAGACATGAATTCATCTATTAAAAACAAAAACGGTACTAGCCGGATCAGGTTTGGAGTTTTGAAGTGAATGTTAGAGTAAATGTCTTTAGGAAAGCGGATTTTATAACAGCTTTCCTGTTAAGAGCTCCTGGAGTTAAGAGCTCCTGGAGAGTTCTTTCACACAGTATGCTTTATATGATGTCATTTTTATGCTTATAATAGTTAAAACTTTAAAAGTACTGGGGTTATGAAGTTATGATGGCTACAAAAAGGAATGACAGAGACCCTGCAGCATCCTTTGTAACCTGTGCTTCCTAGGATAATGTTACTTAGCATGTAAAGGCCAATTCTTCACAACAGCAATGAAAGTATATACAAATTCAGGAGACACAAAAGTTGTAGCTAGGTAAATTTAAAAGACTGCCATCTGCTACTTAATTCATTCTTGAATGGGAAGTGACTTTAGTTTGTAGACAAACATTCTGATTTATATATGAAGGGAAGCAAGAACCTGAGGCAGGATGGAAAGAAAAATCAGTTGATATTTTTAGAGCTGTGGACTGTAAATGGCTGCAGTGTCAATGAATGACAGGAACACGCAATCCAGGAGAAGTGGAGAGGATGGTGGAGGGGAAAGTGGGGTCTGGTAAAAGAAAAAAGACAAGGATTATTGTATTTCTAATGAAGACATCAAAATTTTAAAATGGAACTCAAAATTAATCCTTCATAAGAGGCAGATAAAAAGTACTGTGGCTTATACGCAGGTTTCCAGAAATTGGCATAATGTATAAATAACATTATAGATACAGATTTTATTGTATTTAAAGTTCAGTACTTGATAAGGCCCTTTACCACACAATGTCCTTTACCCTGCAAGCTACATAAAGGAAGATTTTAACTGCACAAATGAGTTTAAGCATCTGACTATGTTGTAGAACAAAACAGAGTAAAATTAAATATTTACCATTCTCTTGACTATGAGAGTAAGACACTGTGTCAAGCTGGGCCGAGAGAAAATAAGAACAAAGAGGGAACAGCCAACAGTTATTTCAAACAAAAAGGAGATACATTACACACATTCCCTTTGTATATACATTACTCAGTATTTATGAATTGCATGAAATCCTTAAAGAATCGTGACGTGATATGTAAACTTTAAGCAGTGAAGTCGTGGACGTTAAAAAGTGTTCTTCACATTCAATATAACTTATTTTAGAACCAACAGATTATTTCAGATGATTATCTAAGTGTCACAAACAAGCAACATGTATATACTGCAATTTTATTTCAATCGCACAAACGAAGTTAGCGTGTAGGAAATTTAAATGAAACAGTGCGGTAAAAATAGCAGAGAACCGAAAATCTAAAAAGGAAGTACACCTAAAGCATGAGAATTCGACATTCATTAGTGTTTCATCTTCAGTTTTGATTGACACTTGATGCTTGCAAATTTCAAAACAAACTTTGAAATCGTGATGACTGTTCTCAAGAGATTTCAGCACCAGCACTAAGGTTTGTACATTCAGTTGGTTTGCAATTGACCGGTTAGCCATTGACAGAGTGTATAGTACAGATTTGTCACAGGTCAGATCACAGTGTTGAGGAAAGGAGTACCTTCCTGTCATTAGAAAGGATCCCTAAACTGCACTGAGCTTAAGACATCCAATGAACAAGAGCACGAACACCATCGGAATAAAGTGGCTCCAAGGAACACAGTTTTGAGAAGGAAAATAACTTAAGCTTCTGTTGCCCATTTTAATTACTGAAATCTCTAACAATGACAAAACTGTCATGCCTGACAGTAAATGTATAGAGTAATTCAATCAAATCTCTTGGAAAGAACACATTAGCAATCTGGGATAATGCAAAATGATGGAAAATAGAACGTGATTCGACACTGGTTCTTTTTGCCATTTCACACAGACATCGTGTTAATATTAGACCAAGGCACAAAACGTTTAGTGCATAAACCAGTTTCTTTTTAAGATCTAGCAATTTATTGTAGTCTTTTACCTTACTTTGGACCACGTGTACCCAGTACTCTATCCTACCACTGACTATTTAACTTAACCAACAAAATCAAAAGTGATTTCTGACCAGATTTATAGGGGACATAAACGTTTATATCATCAAAGTGTTTGTATAACCAAAGGTACAATAATAAAGATGAAAATCTCTCCTATTTCTTTTAGAAAATAGTACTTTAAAAGCTTGCTGTATCTTTAATGCCTTTAACTACTATTGCATGACAGTGAATAGCTGACAGAAAAAAGAACCGTATATGAATTATCATAGCTCATCCATCACAGATTAATCTCAAAATGAAGTTTCTACAGAAACAGAAACTATTTTAACAAGGAAAAAAAAATTCCCTCATTCAAACCTCTTTGAAGTGGAAATGGCTGCAAATCTGCAGCATTTAGAAAACCATGCTATCAACAAGCTCTGTGTTATGAACTAAGATGTAAGAGATCTAGAAAACAGATGAAAATGGATTATGTCTTTGAAATTTTAGTAAAACTGATAATCAAAGATTTCAAAGCAAATATGGCACATAACTCAAGCATAAATCAAGATGGAGAGCCCGGAGAATTTCCGATTTCCTAAATTTGTTTAAAAATCTATCATTGCAACATATAGGATTTCTCCCCTATTTTAATCTTACGAGTTTCAAAGAAAACGGAGTGGATTACATACACACATGCGTGTGCACACCCACACACACACACACACGCACAGACACGGTGGTAAGTAGAGTATCTAATTCCTTCTTCCCACCACCTACATCTCACTTTATTTATTAAAAGAAAATTACAAAGAACTCATCATTGGTTTCCCTTTACCTAATGATTTCTGCGACCTTAACGGCTGCCATCATTGTTACTTCTCGTATTTGAACATAACAAAGTTCAAAAGCAGCTTCCTTGTCAGGAACGTGTACCTGAAGGCCTGTAGGACTGCAGGGCACCTAGGTCATGGTAACTGCCAAATTCAGGGATCGAACTTTTGAGTTCCACAGTAAGAGAGAACTCGTGTGAAGCTCAGAATCATGTTTCAGGCCACTGAAATTACTGAAGTTAAAATATAAAGAGCTGAAGATATGATGTAAAAGATTCAGTACTTGGTTCTGATAACATATTTACCAATTAAAGTCACAAAATATTCCTCGTTATTATTCATGCAGGTAATTGAGAAAAAAGAGAGTGCAGAAATTAACTTTAAATAAAAAATTATTCCTTCCCTTCCTCCCACTCCCCTATACTCTACAAAATGTTCTCCCTGGGACTAGGCCTTGAGAAGGCCACTACGTGTTAGTGTGACATGCATTACTGTCTGCAATTAAAAAAGCTAATTTTGTGGTGGTTGTAATTACATTATAAAAATGTCCACATGCATAAATCTAAAAAAGGTTGAAAACCTACAGTAAATCTACAATACATTGTTTTACATTTGACCACTGGTTTGTGTTATGTAGGAGTCACAGATTTGGTAAAGCATTGTAACAATTTAGGAAGGCATCTAAATCTTTCAATTCTGGACGAATTTTATGTTTTAATCTACAAAATTGCATGAAGGCTAACGAGAGACTTCCTATCACTCTAAAATTCCTCAAGCTGGATAAGTCATTTTTAGGACACTTTCTTATAAATATCACCCTTTGGAAAGCACATACAATTCCATTTGTTCCGCATTTTAAGATCTTAACCTACACAGGGCTGATCTCAATTATTCATGGAATATCAAATACGATAGGAAGACAAACCTGAGAGAAACATTTACAATACAATAGCATAACTTGCTAAATTCTTCATCAGCGCTCTCTGAAAAAAACTTCTTAAGCCTTTCTCCTCTTTATTTTAGCAATGGATTGTGGGAAGTGTGCGATTTTTTTCTTGACATGAAAATATTTGAATGCACGGTGATCTCGCCTGACGGGTTTAGTATTCTCTGCATAACTGTTATAGGAACTCTTATACGACTCTCTTCCATCCTGCTGTAAAGGTCAGAAAAAAGCAGCAAACTGGGAGGGAAATAGCTTATCACCAGAGTAATAATGTCTGAAGGCTTTCAAACACATTGGTTTTTCCCTCTTTCCGACTGTTTGTCTCCATTTTCTTCTCACAGCTCACAAAATGTAGGGGTTTGTTGTTGTTAACAGTTGTTGTTTGCAGGTTTTTTTTTTCTCTCTCCAGATTCAAGTCCCTTCTCTCCTTAGTTTGCTGCTCTACGCGGTATTTGACTTGCTCAGTTCCTGCCTGATTGCTGGTAGGAAAAGGAAAAGTATTGAAAGTAAATATAATGATAAGGTAAAATAAAGGAGCGATTCATTAAGAAATGTCCATGATTGCCTTCAAACTCACAGTAATAAAAGGATACGCTGACCCTGCATCTTTCACTGCATAGATCTTTGTTTTCTTATTACAAAGATGATACTAATTTCTATTTATGTGTATTTATTTATTCTCTCCCTTTTGTACACAAAATGAAAACGCTGATTCTGTGGGCTCAAAACCAAGAGGGCAAAAGGGTGGGATGGATGAGTGGAGGTGACCTAGAAGAAAGACTCGTTCATCTCGTTTTCCAACACCTGACACTTAGCGATCTTGTCGATCCCTATTTTTACAAATGATTTCCATCATATGAAGGACAGAGGGCTCCTCCCTGACATCTAAGTCAAGTGCAGGGCAGGATACCGCAGAAAAGTCATTGTTTTATGCTCTCAAGTAATAAACTGGATATTTCCTTATTTGCATTTTCTTAAAAATAGCTATTCTTAAACACTATGCTTGGGGTAGTAAATTTGTTCAGACACTCACCATCAATGAGCTCTTCTTTTAGCTTTGTTAATTCTTTTCTCATTTCATCTAAAATGTCCTAAAATATTAGAGAAAAACATCAGGAATAAAGAAAGAAAAATTATTGCTAAAAAGATTCTTCTTCATATAATACTTTAAGAATGCATGAAATATGATGTGTGTTTTTTATTTCCAGAGTCACAATTTATATCCTAGAAGACTAGCCTTGGAAAATTTTGTTTTAATAGCCTTCCCTTCCCAATCTCTTGCTTCTTCTAGCCCAGCTAGATATGAAACAGATGGTTTCTAAAACTAAAATAATTACTCTGCCATCCAGTGAAAGGTATGATTCAGATAATTTGTGGCAAGGATAATAGCTCTGCTTTTAATCTAGTCTTCTGGGAGCAGTCTGAGAGGTGAGGCAAAAAGCAAGTTTCAAGGAAGAAGACAAGTAAAGTGGACAATCAGCTCTTGGCAAATCTGTCATCTGGATTGAAGTATGGGGATTCCTTAGGAATCGCCAAAGCTGCCCGATTCTGTTTCAAGGAATCTAGGATTCCCCTGGAGGGCCTCAGGGCTGCTCTGACAGGAGGAGACGAAAGAGGATGGGACCCTGCTGGACCTGCACCGTCCAATAGGGCAGGCACCAGCCACACGTAGCTACTGAGCACTCGAAATGTGGCTCCTTTGAAATGAGATGCACTGTCCCTGTAAAACACACACCAGATCTCAGGGATCTAGTTTGAAGAAAATAATGTACAGTAGCTCATTAGCAATTTTTAAATATTGATTACATACTGAAATATTATTTTGGTTATAATAGGTTAAATAAAATACATTAAAATGAATTTCACTTGTTTCTCTGTACTTATTTAATGTGGCTACTAGAAATTTTACAGTACTGATGTGGCCCATATTGTATTTCTATTTAATAGTGATGCTCTGGACCCTCCTTCCTCCATGAAAACCACTCCATCTTTGTATTTCTTTTTGCAAAAATCTCTAAGTTTGATTTGAAATAATGGACATTCTCCAATTAAAAATGATCAAGAACTGTGAAATACGAGAGCTAAAAGGGCTATACGAGAAGGCGACACAATTTTAATGAGTGAAACATAACAGCAGTCCTTTTGAAGGATTAGTTTCAAATTGTGTGACTTTCTTTAATATTGCACATCTCAGGTAAAATTAAACTGCTCTGCGTTAAGGGTCATTTTTTAAAAAAGCTTTTCATGTTTAAAATTAACTTGAAAACGATCAACTAGTTTAATTCCTCCATTTTACCAGTGAGGAAACTGAGGCAGAGAAGTTATTACATGGACTAACAGATATCCTTATTCAAATTAATCTTAAAATCAGTGCTGAAATCAAACCTATCCTCTCTTCTACTCCACTACGTCAGAGAGCCAAGAACTGACCATATTTTAAAGCGTGTGCAAGTGCTTTATTTTAAAATGTTTTCCAAGAAAAGAAAGCCGTATTTAATACACAGGAAAACAAGGGCTTAATCATCAATGACCACACACTTCCCTCTTCAAATTACATTACTCAATTTAACTTTTCAAGTAGTTTTGCAGTATAAAAATTAGGTTTATCTGAAATTACTATCAGTATTTCTCTAATTGCTATTTAACTTGTATTTTGAACTCATATATTCTTTTTTTAAATTTTATTTATTTATTTTTCCCCCAAAGCCCCAGTAGATAGTTGTATGTCACAGCTGCACATCCTTCTAGTTGCTGTATGTGGGACGCGGCCTCAGCATGGCTGGAGAAGCCGTGCGTTGGTGCACGCCTGGGATCCGAACCCGGGCCACCAGCAGCGGAGCGCGCGCACTTAACCGCTAAGCCACGGGGCCGGCCCCTGAACTCATATATTCTTTATATTGAACATTATATGGTCCCTTTTTGAGCCCCACTCAAACACTTGCTAGTGTTTTTATAAAAAAAGAGTGACAATGGGGAAAACGGGCTTTGAGGAAAAATTCGGGTTCTGATCCTTACTCAAGTACTTACTTAGCTGTGGGACTGAGTAAATTTAACTTCTCTGAACCTTAGACGTGCAGAAATTGAGTATAAACACGACATGACACGACTACCATGAGGATTAAGGAGACACTGTCATGCTAAGAACCCAGCAAATACCTCGCCCTAAGTCCACAGACAGTCAATCAACGGCTATCATAGTGATGAGAATAACCATTATTTTCAGAGGCCATCCTGCAGTGCAAGCTAACAAGACGGAGATACCGTCTTGTTATCCTTGGGTCCTCACAACAGGCCCATCTGTACTCAGGTCTGCAAAAGTGAGAGTCGTTTTACTAAGATGCATTGCCTTCCATTTCAAATCTTTATAACACTACCAATTTCTTTTAAAAAAATTATTTTACCTCTTCTAGGAATAAAATATTTTAAAGGTCCACAATCTCATCACTATGACTCCTTCCACTTTTTTTTCCTGAGTACACAGGTATTAAATATAGTGCCTATGCATCCAAAGTATGGGCCGTATCCTTTTCTTTTTTATAAAGTTGAGATTAACTGTTTATATGGTTTGGTTACTTGTCTGTGTCCCCTAACATGGGCAACTGTTCACAATTCATTGTTAAATGTTCTCAATTATGATTCCCTAATGGCCACAGAGCCCTTTTTCACACTCACTTCTATGGTATTTTCTCAGCATGAATTCTTAGAAATCAAATTGCTTGGTTCAAAGGTAAGACATTTATTTTTAAGGCTTATGATCTGTTTTCCCAAACTGCTCCCTAGAAAGCCGAAGTCTACGAGAGTGCCCATTTCTGCCAATGATAAGTGAAAAGTGCAAGATTTTTTTTTTTTAAACAGTTGTACAGCGTGCCCTTACATTTAAAGTTTATACTACACCATTAAACCATCGCCCCCCACCACCGTTGGAACACGATGCAAACTCACTGAACCAAAAAATGAGGATTTGAAAAAAGTAATACAGTACTAACGCCACTGTTTAATTTGCATAAAAATGGCTTAACTCCATATTCTTTTCAAGGACATTCACGATCTGCCAAATATACGCATTATGAGATATTTCTTAAAAACAAACAAGTACAAACAAAGGAGAGCTGCCACCGAGCACCCACCTGCTTCAACCTGTCATAGTCCAGCCCCTCTGTCTGGACCCCATTGGCACTGGGCTGTGAGGAGGGTGCAGATTTGGGTCTGTACAAACGAAACGTCCAGGACAGGTAAATAACACTCAGAATAGTTAATGAGCTCATGAATCACTGCAAATGTACCAAACCAACACCAGACTGAAGTTCATTTCTCAAATCCCATTGTGTTAAAAAGTTAATTGTCAAAGCTGCAAGACTGATTAGAACACAAAGCAGAAAACACTTTTCACTTTTCTCAGTATTGGCAGTTATTTGTAAAGAAATGAGAAAGGGGTGATAAGATGACGAGACTTCTTCAGTAAAGAGCAGAAGACACCGTCCCCCGGGCATGAGGCAGGTAACCAGGTAACGTGAGCAGGTTGATGAGGACAGAGATGAAAGGCTAGCTGAACATCCGAGGCCCAAGGAACACAACCTTATTTTTTCCTTCTTTTGAAATGCATTATCTACTAAATATCTGGCAAACCAATGGAAGGGAAAATATAAAGACTTGAATATCTTACTCTAATATGAATCAGTTTACAAAGTCTATGCCTTGGTTTTCAGGGAAAAAACATTTTAGTAAGCACGATTTCTTTGTCTATGTTTTATTCCATTTCAAGCATCAAAATAAATAAGAATGTTGGAAAAATAATTACTAGGTTAAAAGTATATTTATCTCCAACTGGCTATGAGGCTATTTCCAGACAAAGTTTTTATGGAGATGTCATCTGAATAGTTTGTTTCCAGTTATTTCCATAAAATTATTTTGTTAAAAAAAAGGAAATGCCAGATAGAAGCAGACTGTCAATTATTATTGTACTTTCAAAAGTGTAGATTCTATTAAAAATTTTACATGAAGAAATAAGTCTTAGGGATTGGGTATATTTTAAGCAAAAGTTTCAATATCAAATAAATCAGTCATGGTTCCCTCTCCAATTGTGGGAAAAAGAGACAATCCTAAGTGGAAAATCTAGAGTTTTAATTGAGTATTCCTCTATTTCCTGGGTTAATTAAGTGGCCACTCTGTAAGGGCCACAAATCAATGCAAATTAAAACCATGAGTCAGGTCATATACTTTCCATTTTGCAGAGTACCAATGTTAGAAATCTGAACCAAGACTCAATAGGTATAAAAACTTTTTCAAAGTTATAATTTCATAATTCTTATAAGGCATATTATACTTCAAAAACCCATAGGCATTTTTTGTGAAGATGAAATACTGAGTTAATTTGCTTTAATATCGAAACATATTACTGCTTAATAGGTTGTTATGAAGCAAATCAACCAATTTTGTTTTATTAGACATCTGCTGTTCTGTTTATATGAACAAGGAAAATAACTTTCAGAAAGCTTCATTCAATAAGCATTGAGCTAAGCACTGTGGCGGATGCGAAGATTATATGACATATTTCCTTTCCTCTGTGAGGATAAACCTTTCTTCTTGGCTGGGGAGACTTCTTAATTCCAAAGTCATTTAAGATTTATTGAGATCTACTGTAAGCAAGTCATGGTGCTCTGTGTGAGTCCGGTTTAGTAAATATTCTTGAAGGTGGACACTCTGTGCACTTCATATACCCTTGTTCTCCATTCCTGCTCTCCAGGATTAAATTATTAATTACTCTGCTTTTCTTTTACTTTTCATATTTAAGTGGCACAACCAGCTAATTATTTCCTCCTATGTTATATAACGAATACCCCTGAAATTCATGTGAATAACCGTAGCTTGCTACTTAACTGGTGGTATGTTATGAATATATCCGTATTTACTAAACAATGCAAAAATTATTGTTGTTATATAATAAACAATTGTGGAAACATGCAATTTTTAAAAAATTTAATTCATGCTAACATGCAATCCATCACCACCACCACCACCACCATGGTAATTTAACTAAAGGGGGGGAACTTTTCATACTGAAGGAAAGAAGTAATCACCACTTTTTTAAAAAAAAGGCTTCGCTTATCAACATTATCCCAAGGGCCACTGTGTATGAAAGGAACAAGGTAACTGAGAAGATTTACAACGGAAAATCTCACTATTAAACGCTATTTTTCTCTCTACATACTGGCAAATTTTTTGAGTAAGTCTTTGGATCAAACAATTAACCCACCTCAAAAAGAGGCAGGGAAACTATTTCACTATTGAAATATAAACATTTTATGCAGACTTAACTGGCTGACAAAATAAACTTATCAAATATTGTACTCATCAATGGCATGAAAACAATTTTAAGAAATAATTTGGCAAATAGAGTCTGACTACAGAACTCCTTACTCACTGCCATAGACAATCCTCCATATACTATTTAATTCATGTTCTCAGTAGATTTGATGTGTGCATTTTTAAGAATAGATGCATGTAACAACTTGGGTGTATATTTTGGTTATTTCTAACCTATGGGTTTTCATCATAACTGATAACAAAATATGAGGGTTTCTCAGAGGTTTTTATTACTTTATAATGAGTGTTGCCTCTAGAACCTGACTATAAGATAACTGTACTATGATATTTAAGTTCCTATTCTGCCAAATTAATTCTAAAAATTGCTTAAGTATTTGAGGATTTTTAAAAAATTGTCAACTTTTTCAATTAAGAAAGAAATATATGGTTCATAATCTTAAGTTTTCTTAATTTAAAAAATGGTATGTCTCATCCTAGAAAATAAAAAAATCTGTTCAGGATGTTAGATGTTAGGTTGCTAAAGATAATTTATTACAGAGTACCTAGGAAACAGACTTTCCTCAAAGAAAAATTATCCACAGTGTGGCTATAATACTGTCCCTGTTCCAGTAACAAACAGTACAGTATCTTCTAGTCCATTTTTTAAAAGCCCTGTCTCATAAAGAGAACAGGCTTTAAAAGAAAATGCAAAACTACCAACAGCCTGATCCCATCTACAGTCCCACTCTAGTATCTCTGGCATGTTGACCACTTGTATTTATCCTAACCCTGCTAAAAACAGATGGCAGGGAAATGGATACTATTAAATATTTCTTTTCTTTTTTCTTGGTGAGGCGGATTAGCCCTGAGCTAACATCTGTTGCCAATCCTCCTCTTTTTGCTGAGGAAGATTGGCCCTGGGCTAACATCCACGCCCATCTTCCTCTACTTTATATGTGGGAAGCCGCCACAGCACGGCTTGATAAGCAGTGCCTAGGTCTGCGCCTGGGATCCAAACCTGCAAACCCCTGGCCGCGGGAGCAGAGCATGTGAACTTAACCACTATGCCACTGGGCCAGCCCCTAAATATTTCTAATTAAGACCTCTTAGGATTTTTTTAAAGTATTCTAAATAAAGCTAAATATGAAAGATTCAGTCTTGCTAAACATCTCCCTCGTGGTGATTACCAATCCACGTAGAAAAAGCTCCATCCTACCCTGCACATGTTATTTAAAAGTCTCAAATCACAGAGTCACAGCAGGATGATACCTGTGTAATGAATCATAGGACCTGTGGTCAAAAACAATCTGATTTTTCCTTGGAGAATCCCGTCTACGAAGGGGAAAAACCATTTAAAGGGGTATACAATAGAACTTTTAAGAATAATTCTCATTATGTTACTGTTCTATAGGTTTTTAGTCATAGCAAACAAAATAAGAACTAAAGGAGTCCATTAACCTTAAAATGATCATTTTTCTCCAATAAAAAAGAAGATATTTGGAGACTAATTCTAGTTATGTGAGGATACTCTGTTTACTTGACAATTACAGAGCATAAAAAAAATCATTATGCAGTGCCTACTTTTATAGACTGGTGACACAGCAAAACCTACCCACACACAGACTCAACAAGTATCAAAACACAATCAAAGACATTTCTCTCAGTGAATATAAAGCTACAGACTCTAATCAAAAGCACCATAAAAATTACTGTAGCTTGAAGTACACAAAATTAACTCTTCTCAGGAGGCAAGTGAAGAACTTTTTCCCATCTTGAATACAAGATCTGTAAGATCTTAATAAAAACCATAGGAAGAATTTACAAATTTTCCTATGTTACATTTTCGTCATAGTTTAAAGCATTTTTAACCGTAACATTCTTGCTTTTATTCTGCTATCTGATATCGTCACTTAATATACACAGCATAATGCAATATCATGTATATTACAGGATATTGATCCATCTTATAAACATAATTTTAACATGGATATTCAGGAGAAATGGGTACTTTCACTACCACGCAAGGATGAGGCACATTTAAATAAAAACATAAAATGGCCAATATACTTCCTTTCAGAAGGAACAGGGGAGATGACTTAGAAAGAAAAGCAATACAGTTCTTAGTCTTTTAAACACATTTTTAACATCTTTCATGGTTTAAAACTGCTCACGGTGAAATTTTAAGACATATATATCAGTGGTTGGATCAAATCTGTCAAAAGATATAAGAGTGGTCAGGAAATAACCAGGTGTTTCAGAATTTCTATTTTGGAAAAGGAGAGGAAAACCATCTACCAGAGTCAGAACATGATTACAATGAACTACTGGATAATAAGAACCAATATTCAACTAATCTATATAAAAATATTTTTTAAACGGTGACCTTCAGAACACTTATTAAACTTCCTTTGGAAGTCTGAAAAATCTTTCAAAGAATAATTTTTCCTTCACTAAATGAACCCAAACACATCAAGGAACATGTTCCATTTGGAGAACCTCTTCCATGGCCCTTCTAAGATCCGACTTTTGCCGTGAATTTAGGTTTAGCTTTAGGCAAGGTCACTATGGAATTCCTCTCAACGTGGTAGGATGAAGAAGACAAAGAAGTCTTTCCTGTCACCCTTCACATTCTCAAATCACCACAGTTCTGTTCTCTGACATGTCCTTGATAAATCAGGCCTCGTAATGTGCTACTGAAGAAAATCTCGAACAACTATGAGAGATACGTTAGAAGGCCACTTCAGTTAGGTATCTGAGAAACATAAATGTGCAATTTTCTACTCTGTTGAAAAAACGTGTCCAGCAAAGGCGATTCCTCAATTTTCTTCTAAAATCAAATATATCATCTTTCAGTCACCTAGAAACTAAAAGCTTCTATACATTCGAAAAGGCCCAATTTCTCTGTGGAGCTTAAATAATTGTGTCATCACCAAATCTTTCCTACCAGCAGAAAGAACCACACAAAAACCAAATGCGAATTTAGATTAAGGTAACACAGAACAGATCTGTGACAATGAGATCTACCGTTGTACTTTTCTTATTAAGTTTCTATAATAGAGGCAAGTTTGCTTTTATCAGGCAAAAAGAAGGCAAATAGCTCAGAAAGAACAGGCAAAAAACTTTTTAGTCTCTACATACATACTTTTTCTGGGAAAAATGAGTCCCTTGAAACTGTCTCATAAACTAAGAAAAAGTTTCATCTATGTTCAAGACTGGTGATATAAATTTAGTTATGATAATAAAGTATGCCTAGCTAAGGAATGCTAGACTTGCTGACTGTGCCCAGATGGCCACTTGTAGAGACACAAATAACTAGTCTTGTTCCTGGGCACTGTCTTCTCTAACCTGATGGTACTGTTTCAACTGACAGAGAGATAAATCTTTCTATTTTACAGTTTTAGGTTCTATTTTGTTCTCTTTTAAACATTGTAGTCTTTTCTCTCCAGCTGCTTTTCAGTTTAAAACATAAAAATTTCTTTCCAAAAATACAAAAAAAAAAATACATCCCTTACAAAACGAAGGATGTCATTGAGACTAATGGGGAAATGTGAATGTATACTATATTACATAATACTATGGTTTAATGTTAAACTTCTTGAGAGTGATAATGGTAATGGGGTTACACAGGAAAATGTCCTGGTTCTTAGGAAAATGTTAAAGTATTCAGGGTGAAGTTGCTTCCCAACTATTCAGAGGGAAATAAAGTATGAATGTATAGATAAGAGTTCAAGCAAATGTGGCAAAATGGTTAACATTTTGGTGAGTCTAGGTGATGGGTAAAACGGTGTTCACTATACTCAATGTTTCAACGTAGTTTTGAATTTTTCAAAATAAACTGGGAGGAATAAAAGCTATCAAAGTTTCAGACACACTGGCGGATAACAACAAGCATAAGGTAGAATTTTAAGACAATCACTACTAAATACCATGGGGCTCAGTGATTGTCCAACAGTAGTAAGATTATAGTGTTTTATTTGCTCCTTTGTATAGTTTCAAATCTACCATTCAGTGTTTTCTACAATAAATATGTAGACGTCAATTTCTCTTTAGATACAAACGTAACATAAAATTGATACCTGGAGATAACAGGTGACTTGCTGCCATTCATTGTATTTGTTCTTTCCCAAGGTTTTCTTGTTGGTTCTTTAAAAATAAAGAACATAAGTTATTAAATATCTTATATGCTCCCAGAGCTATTGTAAAACAAATAATACAATACTAAATATCATGACCATGTTTATGTAATATAGATAATAAAAATTTTTAAATTTCAATTTTGAACTGTAAAATCTATCATTTTAAATTGTATAGTTTCAGACCTTAAAATCAGAAGAAATAAGCAAGTGTGACAACTTTCCCCAGGAAAAACTTTAGACTGTTAAATTTAAAATACTATAATTCTATACACCAGATGGTAAGAGTTTCTCTAATAAAAATAGGATAGTAAGAATAAGGGTAGGATAATTTTAATTAATTGGAATAGAATAGTACAAATGATTTGAAATTAATAAGGATAGTTTAAATTTACTAGATGGGATAGGATTAACTATACTATTTTTAAACAACTTTTAGTGCCAATGGTAAAAGAAATAAAAAGCATAATCTTTAATGTGTTCATGTACTTCAATATTTAAGCTAAATTCAAATAATCCACTTAAAAAAAATTCAAACAACTCAAAATAAATTTCAGAATCAAGTTCTACTATACTTCCTCAATTCTTAACCAATTCTTGGGACTTAACCGACAAGCCCAGCTAAATATAAATAAATTCACACTAAGCTCTTCCTACAATACTTCCTACGCAGGGACTCACTGGTCAGCAGTCTATTGTGCTGGGAACTGCTGCTCTAATTCGGGCCAACCCACTGATGCCGTCATTGGCCTCACTAGCGACTGGGTAAAATGGGAGTGGAATCTCGTCATGGAAGAAAGCATTTGGGCCATGTGAGAATGGAGTCCAAGTCCAAGTTGTGACCTTAGTGCCCAGTTTTAACTAGGAATTTAGCTCCGAGTTCCAATGTGACCCCTCACCTGGCTTCTGCACATTGTCACTCAGGTAGCTTGTCCTCTCTTCAAACTACACAGATGCAAAACTAAACTCAAACTCTCCCATGAAGCTCTGCTTTCTGCTGCATTCAGTCATGTAGGGGTGAAACCTTAGTCATCACTGATCTTGCTTTACTCCACTCCTCGATCAATCATCAACTCCCCCCTTTAAATTACACTTTGTTATTCCTCCTTTTGTATTCCAACAGCTGCACATGCTCTCAACGACCACCACAGAGTTGGCCAGGGGACATCAAATAATCAGATGAGGAGGTCCAGGACAGACAGAATCAGAAACACATCCAAGAGACACCAGCCAGAGCAGGTGAAAAGAGGGAAGTCCTGAACGAAACTGAAGGACAACTGGATAGGCAAGGGAATGGTCATCAGGGCATCGTGACCACAGAAGAGGCAGGCGGAGAGACGAGGAAACAATTCCAATGTGGTAAGATGTAGTGAGCACTGCCATTTAACAGTCGGCTGAGGTCCTTTCTCAATCAGCCAAACCAGAACTATCATTCAGTCTTCAAAGGGCTCCTCCTGGTTTTGAGGAAGAGCAGTTCATTGAGCTCCACAGGTAGGGAGGCCACCTTCTCTCTAAGGGGGCTCCAGATCGGTCTCAGGAGGAAGGTCAGAGGCTGGGTGTCCTTCATCGGGTCTTTGGAAACACACGGGATCCTTACTGGCACTAGTTTCTCTATCTCAGTCCTGCTCACATCCGCCATTTTAATGTTCCTAAAACACTTTCAGTTGATCGTCAACTCAATCCTTGCAGGATGAAGTCTAAGCTCCTGATCTTTTCATAAAAGGCTTTTGGTTCTAACTCACTTTTCCAACCTTTCCCCCCAATACTCTCCTAAAAGAATTCTCCATTCTAGTCAGGCAAGTCTACCTAGTATTTCCCAGTCTCTTCCTGCTCCTCTCCAACTCCCTATCCTTGCACACGCTATACCCACTTCCTGAAATATCACCCCTTCCTTGACTTTCAGCCAAACTAAATACTCTTCAAGGCACAGTAGAATGTCATTTTTCTCTACAAAGATGACCTAGGTGGCTCCAGACTATACAGCCTCCTCCCTCTGACATGTTATTTAATAGTCAACAATTGGTTGTAAAAGATTAACTTTTCACTTGTGTGTGTCTCAATTTTGTGGACTATGAGTTTCTTGGTGCTCAGGGCAAAAATTTCACTTCTTTTTGGCTTGTCAAGTGTCTGACACAAAACCAAAAAAAAAAAAAAAAAAACCTGAATGAAACAAGTGAAAAAAGCCCCCAGTCCTTCTGAATGAATCCTTAACTTTATATATAAGGCGCACACAATGCAAACCCCACACACAATCCACGCTTTAGTTTTCCATATTTTAAATAAAAGGATATACATTCGATAAGGAGTTTTAACTTGGGGTCCATGGATAACCTTCAGGGAATTCATGAATACTTTGAAATTATGAGCAGATTTGATAAAACTATGATTTTTCCCTCCCTAGGGAGAGGCTTCATAGCTCTTTTCAAATTCTAGTAGGTTCTGTGACCCAAAATCATAGTTGAGTTCTACAATATCTACGGTCTTAATAACAGCATATATGATTAATTTTGGCTTACAGAAGAAAGATAAAGCTAAAGTAAGTGGGTCACAAGCTAGAGAATTTTTAATGAAAATAACGTCAACTGATTTGAATCCTATTCAGAGGAAAAACAATTCACAAAGTCACAATGTTAACTATAATGTAGCAATCAGACTACTGCATAGTCACTATTCAATAATGAGAATTAGAGTTTTGTGTTTTTTTTGCAAATGGGTTACAATCACAAAAACAGAAGTATGTTTTCTAAAAAATAGCATTCTAGAGGAAGCGAGCAGTCTCCAAATCAAAATCTGCAGGCATTAACATAGACATTTCTCTAGAATGGTTTCCTATGGATCATTCTAGATATTAATTCATCAAAATCATCAAATTTATGTATGTCACTTAATTCCAAATTAGATAAGGTGGTGAATAGATAGTCCAGCTCTTAGCCAAATATGAAGAAATGACATGTACATATGTAACAAGCTCATATTCTCATTATGGATATAGGACTCATCAAGCATCTCCAGTGAAATATATTTTGTTAATATTCTAAGTAATGTATTCTATGCCCATGAGTTCTCAATGTTGGAAATTTCAGTGAATTCAAGAACATTTCCCAAAAGTCTCAAGGGGATTTTTTTTTAACTTTACAAATTATAACCTTTATTTCTTTATCAATATTACCCAAATTAATGTTAAAATGACAACCTTCTCAATTTGAGAATGTTCTGAAATAGACTTCAATGCTAGCTGACATGTTCACTTAATCTTTACCTTTAAGAATCAATTACTAAAAATAGTTCCCTTTTCATCTGATAATGTATTTTTCCTTGTTTTACTGAATAACCTCAAATCATTAACAATAATATAAACAGAACGTGTAAAAATTATGATTTTCAAAGAAAGAGTCATCAGAAAAAACCTTCTGGGCTTTACTCGATTTCCCAATATCAGAAAGGAATTAACAGCCGTTTCTGGGATCAAAAAGGCCGAGGGAAAAAAGTCAGTGCTTTCAAGCGTGAACAAAGGACTTGAACATTTTAGTGACCCAGGAGTTACTTGATCCAAACGTGGGGAAATGGGGGATTTTTAATTGGGGAGTATTAATATTTAGAGAAAGTTTAAAAAAGTTAAAATACATCTCTTGAACTTACCAGCTGTACTTGTTGAAGACACCTTAGAAGTTACAGGCTCTGAATCTTCCTAAATACACAGAAATACGTATTAATAACATCACACCTACCAGAAGCCTGTTGCACATACTTAGTGTTTTATTTTTCCATGTCCAGTATTCTTTCTGCCACTCCCCGTTTCCCTCCATCAGTCTTTTCTCCCTCCCATCCTAGTTCAGACTCTTCTCCTGCCCTCCTAGCATTTCCCCTCCTACATGCCCCACGGCCCCTTCCTCAAGTGTTCTCACTGAACACTGCACCAGCCAATGTTACTAAGCCAGATCTAAGAGACAAACTTGAGGAACGGATCAAAGAAGGCCAAATGTAGCACGGAAAACAATCACAGTATTTGTTCAACACCAATACACAGAACAGATAAAGCAGAGTTTGCCTAGCTGAACTGGGGAGGGGCATGAAGGGTACACTCTTAAGCTAACAACCACAGGGCTCCTGGGAGAAACATTTGAAAACCGTTGACTTAGCCTCATTCCTTCATTTTAAATGCAAAGAAACTGAGACTCTAAGAGATTTTAAAAAAAAAAAACCTATTATTTACCAGTGGGGTTAGGTACACATTTAAACTCTACAGGTTTGAACTTCAGTGCTTGTCCCCTAACTCCACACATTCAACCCATTTTACTAAGAATACCATTAAAAATTTGTAAATGACGCTCAAAACAAGCCATTTTTAACATCTGAGGAGTTAAAAATAAGCAATTGTAAATCCAGATTAGCTAAGTTCAAACTAATCTTTGACATCATTTCCTTAATGCTTGGATTTCACATTTTCTGGTATAGTGGACTACCTTCATTAACTTACATTTTTGTCCTCTTTTTGTTCTGTGTCTATTGTTGATCCCTTTTCAGCAATTCTTCTCCTAGAAAGAAGGTAAACTGGATTTTTAAAAAAGTCATCCAACTCTTAGTATAAAAAACTACTTCTCCAAAAGGGAAGAGTTGCATCTAGTTAAAGTATATTTGAAATAAAATTAACAACATCCTCTCAATTCTGGACATGTCCACACAATTTCTCACTTACCTCCTGGCCAGCAGGGCACTCATTTCTTCCATTAAACCACTACCCCCTAAAGGAAGGGGTCCATTTCCACGACCTGAATCTGTTTTAGACGAGGCCGAATTCACACCAATGGTACTCCCTCCACTTGGGGCAGAGGCATCCTCCATCTTAATGAGAATACATATCATCATAAACTCTTATGTTAGACAATCCTATGTTTATTAACAGATTTCATTCAAAACAGAAGGATACATCAGCATGAATTTCAATAAACACATCTAAATATTATTTTTTTTGCTGTGAAAGATTCACCCTGAGCTAACATCTATTGCCAATCTTTCTCTTTTTTTTCCCCTCCCCAAAGCCCCAGTGCATGGTTGTATATCCTAGTTGTAAGTCCTTCTAGTTCTTCTATGTGAGCTGCTGCCACAGCATGGCTACTGACAGACAAGGGGTGTGGTTCCGTGACTGGGAACCAAACCCGGGCCACCGAAGTGGAGTGCGCCGAACTTTAACCACTAGGCCATCAGGGCTGGCTCTACATATTATTTTTACATCTACTTAAGAACTAATGGAGGGGGCCAGCCCCATGGTGTAGCAGTTAAGTGCGCACGCTCCGCTGCTGGTGACCTGGGTTTGGATCCCGGGCGCGCACCGATGCACCGCTTGTCAGGCCACCCTGTGGCAGCATCCCATATAAAGTAGAGGAAGATGGGCACGGATGTTAGCCTCAGAGCCAATCTTCCTCAGCAAAAAGATGAGGATTGGCAATGGATGTTAGCTCAGGGCTGATCTTCCTCACCACAAAAAAAAAAAAAAAGCACTAATGGAGTAAATAGCATGGACTTTATACCAATGGAAGTTTTGCCAAAGTTAACATTACCAATAATGGGATAAAATGATATCATTATATGTCTCCCTGGGTGAAACACTGAGAAAGACCTATTACTTCAGTGTTAAAAAATGCATAACCCGCCAAAAAAATGCATAACCCAAATCTAATCTTGGGGAAACATCAGACAAACCAAACTGAAGGATATTCTACAAAATAATTGTTTTATAGTCTTCAAAAATGTCAATATCATGAACGAAAGATTAAGGAATTGTTACAGACTAAAGTAAAATAAAGACACCTTATAACTACACGCAATGGGTGATCTTAGATTAAAAAAAGATTGCCACAAAAGACATTATTGGACAATAGATGAAATTTAAATACATTTGTAGATTACAGTCTTCTACCAGTGCTAAACTTCCCGGTTTTGATAATTATCTTGTGGTCATGTAGGTGAATGTCCTTGTTCTTACAAAACACACACTGAAGTATTTAGGGAAATAGGGGCATGGTGTCTGACTTCTCTCATTTCAGACAAAAAGAGAAAGAATAATAAAGCGAATATGGTCAAATGTTAGGTGGTAGATCTGGTTGATAGGTTTACAGAAACTCTTTATATTATTCTTACAACTTTTCTGTACGTTTAAATTATTTCAAATTTTTTAATCAATGAAGTGAATAACATAGGTTCATAAAATTAGAATGCAATAAATCCAGTACTTTAGGTATTGAGACAATAAGACATATATAAAGAACACAATCATTTGGAAACGCATTTACCCGTGACACTTTCCTAAGTTTTGCTCCAGCAATGGCAGCTGCGAGTCCAGTTAAAGGGCGATTGTCTTCTGACATGGATGCCGCAAAAAATCCAGATGCAGGGAGAGGAGGAGCGGGCGGTGGTGGAGGAGGAGGGGGCACTTGGTTAGGAAGGGGGGGTAGAGGAGGCGGAGGCGGAGGCCCTGAGGAGGGAAGAGGAGGGGGTGGAGGGGGTCCTGGGGGTGGAGGGAGTGTGGCTGAAGCCTGGGCAGGACCTGGTGGGAGGGGAGGGGGCGGTGGAGGTGCAGGTGGTCCCAAGACAATGCCTGAGAGATAGAAATGTTAAATAAGACCATCAACATTAGAGCTAAGTGACATTATTTTACGTGGAAAGGTATGTAGAATGCCATGCTAAATTAAACCCACTCAAACATCTACTACGTATTAATGAGTTCTATTTATCCCAATGTTTAAAATCTAGATCAGTATTGAAAAGACACTAAAATGTAAAGTCAAAGTGTATAACTACTTACACGTTTTATTAATAGAACTGTGCAACAGATTATCTAATTATTTTTTGTTCATGAGGATTTGGTAAATAAACGTTTACAAAATTTGGGATCATATACAAAATTTGTATCATATACAAACTAGTGTATACGATAGCAGTTAGCGCTATTTGAAATAAGAGACGCAAATAATCTGTGTACATCTTAGGTGCTGAGATAATAAATTCTACAATAGTGAAGACATACATATTGCCTTGGTTATAGATAGGCAAAGTGGCTGGGCTGAGAACATGAAGGAGGGGTGGGTCCCAGGCTTCAATTTCTTAAAATATTCCACGTCTAAATCCAATGTGTAGCAAGAGTTGAGAATCACTGAAGTAAAGGAATTTACTAGTACAAAGTAAAACCTTAAAATAACTATTTGAAATAATTATATGACAAAGAATTTAAAGTACAGAGTTTTTTCAGCCTAGAAGACGGGGGGGTAAGAGAGAAATGCCCAAGTCTGATATAGCCACAAAGGGAGCGAACAAGAACTTATTTAACAGAAGACTGAACTAGCAGGTACTCTCTTTCTTAAAGCTTAAAGGGGTGTTTTAGGACAAATAAAATGCTATTTGCACACTGGGTGGTAAATTTTTTTAAATTGCTCACTTTGAGCAGTTACATTAGCTGAAAACAAAAATTGTTCGAATAAGAGCACCATGGAGTTAAAGGCTGTCACCCTCCCCCGGGTCATCGGAGCTCTAAGGATACTGCAGGAGGTCCATCTGACCTGGTCCACAGTTGGCCTGGTCCATCAGGCTAACTGTGCCTGGCCTGCCCAGCATTACTGTCACACTCAAGTGCACGTACTAGAACTGTGACTCAACGTTTATGCAAATCCGCTACGCCAACAAGAAAAATACACACACAGCAATAACCAGCCTTCTTATTTTATCTTAAGAGCTAAGATTTTTTTAAAAAGAAGTGTGTTTAAATCCAGCCTATAACGCTGTTTCTTTTTAAGTACCTATTTGTTGTCATATTCCTTCCTGTAATTGTCACTAAATCCTATTTAAAAAAAAAAAAAAAAAAGGAGGAGGTTGCTAGGCATCTTCTTATTTACTTACAGAACCAGGTCCTTCTCTACTTACAAATAATCCACCTTAGAAGATTACATCCTCCCTTCCCTGTTGCCATGACAGTAAGGTTCAGGCATGGGGGGGGGGAGGGATGCCTGTAGAGGGCGCTGTTCTCCCCCAACTGTCCCTTCAGCCCGTGACTTCTCGTAATTGTGGACCATGGAACCCTTTGGGGTATACATCAAGCCTGCCACCCTTCACCCCTCCTGCAAAGTCTGGCTGCTCCACAGGGTTGAGGGTGGCACCCATCCCTGGAAGTCCAATATGGGAAGCCCAACACAGGAGAGGCCAAAATGAAATAAGGCCCAAGATCAGAACTGTTCCAGGAGACTCTAGGATGATACATGTGATGACTACAGTTGGGCACTAAATCTCTAAGTTTCCCAGAAACTAAAGGAAGACAAGTTAGACCATACACTTCTTGTATAGACCAAATGTGTCAAGTCATGTTTTCCTAGTGAAATTTAAAGGAAATGCATTCTGGAGGCCCTTAAGTATTGGAAAACATCTCCAATTATGATACTGCAGAAGATACCAAAATCTAGTTCAATATGGAAACTCCTCATATTGATCCTCCGAATGCAATAAATCCAACAGAAGGAAAAAAACATTTATTTTCTACTATAAATTTTTAAATTATAAAAAATATAGTACTACGGCATAAAGATGTTCAACTATCAAAACCATCCTCCCCATCCTTCTAGGCAATTAAAGCTGTTGGTCTCTAACACTTTCAAGTGATTAGTTGTTAGTAGCGATAACGGAAGCCTTACCCTGTGGGGCTGGAGTCTCGGCCGGCTGAGAGGCTGCCTGCAAGCCTGGCTCAGAAGCAGAGGAGTCCCCCAGCACAGAGTTTAGAGGAGTCTCCACAGAGGCAGGGGCAGCTGCAGGGGGAGAAGGGAGAACACTGGGCTTGGATGAGGGAGTTGAGGCAACAGGGGTGCCCGGAGGAGGAGAGGCTTGAGATCCACAGTGTGAGGGTGGTGCGAGGGAAGGCAGTGGAGGCGGCGGCGGAGGCGGCACTGCTGGCCCTGAGGTAGGCGGTGGAGACACTGGACATGTGACAGAGTCAAGCAGCCCGTTGGGGGCTGTTGGCGATGGAGGCATTTGGGGCACAGGAGAAGAAACACAAACAGGGAGGACAGGCCTGGGACCAGTAGCTTTGCCCGGGGGGCTGCTAATCATTACTGGAGGAGACGGAGGGAGGGGCGAGAAATTGGAAGTAGACCAGGCACAGGGCTTCGCAGCCGGAGGCTGAGGAGAGGGCGTGTTCACGGGAGAGGAAGGCCGAGAGTTTTTGTTCAGAGGACGAGGAACTGTAGCGTAATGGGGCAGGACAGGGTGGAAGGCTGAACCTAGAGAGGTTGCAAAACGTGTCGCTGGGTGTCGAAGTGGTGGTGTAGGGGGTGTGGAAGAAGGTGGCAAAGCGGTCACTACAGCGTAATCAGGAGTGGCACCGGACACTGGAGCTGAGATGACTTTAGCGTATGATGGAGGAGGTGCTGAAGGAAGCTGGCAACTGGCATACTCAGGAAGTGGAGCATTATACAGGGAGCTCTCTGAAGATGGAGCTGGACAGAGGTGGAAAGCGGCAGCAAAAGACAGGATAAAAAAGGAGAGAGAAAAAGGGAGCTAGTAAAGCCACAAAACCAGCATTCAGACAAAATGTATCAATGTAGACTACAGTTAGTACAGAGAATTAGGCACATGGGCAAATACCTAACTTCACCCAAGAATATCTTAACTTATAAATACATTTTGAGATCCAGAAGAGGATGAAATAAGTTTTCTTTTTATCTAATAAGCAGATTGATAAATTAAATCGATTAGCTTATCCTTTACAACAAAAAGACAGTAGCCTTAATCTTCATTATTTAGTCCACTAAAAGGACATTAAAATTACATGAATAGGACCACAAACAGAAGAGTAAGTTCAGTTGTTTTTTTAAAACAACAAATAGCAAAACTGGCAAATGTTTATTATAAAAGACTAGGAACCCCCCAATTCAGTGCTTATTTGTGGAAAAGTTTTGTTTGGTTGGCTATAACCCCAGAAAATAATTAGGCAGTTAAAAACAACTGAATTAACTCAAACAACAAACCAATCAATGCAATATTTAATCAACCCACATTAAGACGTTTCAAATAAGCAATATGGAATAAAAAAATAATTCTCAAATTCTATAATAAATGTTAGTTTTAATGAACGTCAAAATACCTCCAACTTTCGGTCATATCTTAACCCTTACGTCTTTCAATAAATTCCATCAGATTTAGCAATTTTTGCTAATTTTTTGCAATACTAGAAAAAATATTTAAATAACTAGTCAGTTTTAGAGGATATTTTTCAGATACGGTTTTCAATTCTCCTTCAAAAACTCTGGAATACAATCAAGCCAATTTCTTGCTGAATGATACTGTAATACTACAGTATTCAAGATAATTTAAGCAATCTCAAAAAGGGAAGTATATTTCAAGTTCATCCAATATAAAAAATTCCCCACAAAAACACACTTTACAGCCAATTTATAGGGAGTTAGAAAAATTAGAATGCCAGAACAAAAATTTCCAAGGGCTTTAAAGTCTCCAAGCAATTAAAGCAATACAGAGAAAAGTAAAATGTTAAAGTAGCAATTGCTGCCTATTTTTCATAATTTCCAACCGTATTGCTTAATCCCAAGCATCTCTAATGTGAACCGCTCTCACATGTGACTGTACAGAACCTCCCCCCGCCGAGCTCAGGTGTCAAGAGCGCAGGATAACGGCACACTTCTTACCAGCGCTGGATGCTCTCCGCTCCCGCTCCCATTCCAGCTGCTCCCTCTCCAGCTGCTCCTGTCGCTCTCTCTCCAGCCGCTCCCGCTCCAGCCTCTCCAGCCGCTCCCGGTCCAGCCTCTCCAGCCGCTCCCGGTCCTGCCGCTCCCTCTCCAGGCGATCCTGCCGGTCGCGTTCTTGTCTCTCTCTCTCCAGCTGTTCCTGTTCTAGGCGCTCCCTCTCCAGTCTCTCCCTCTCCAACCTCTCCCTCTCCAGTCTCTCCCTCTCCAACCTCTCCCTCTCCAATCTCTCCCTCTCCGCTCTTTCTCTCTCCAGCCTTTCCCGCTCCAGTTCCTTCTGTCGCTGCTGTTCTTGCAGTTGCCTGAAAGGAAAAACAAAAAGAAACTGTCAATATGCATCTATGGCTACTCATCATGAAAAACCTACTCCTTTCACTATGAACCCTGTGAACCTTATTTCTGACTCAAACACAAAGCTGTGTAGAGCATGCAGTCAACATCTCTTCTCCCACAGGAGCAAAGGCTAAAGGCTACTTCAGGTAGAGATGGCTTATCCGTTTCATAGAAATGAAAATCATTCCTCTTATGAAGATCATTTTTGGCTGACTGCTTCAGCACATTACACTCCTCTCATTTTATTCTGCATGTTTCATGAGTGTTGCAAATTAATGAACGTTCCAAGTAACTGAACAGACCACTTTAACGACCAAGTCACTATGTTATTCATTGAATGAAAAAAATTTCTAACTTGTCATTTCCTTCCTAAAACATAACATCAAGTTTTCATTGGGCAAGTAATATATTATTATTATATAATATTAGGAAATACCACTAATGACGGGTCACAGCAATAGCTCAATAAAAGTTTGCTGAACAAAAAAAAACACACAAGAAGAAAGAACCTTTAATCATCTGAAGTCTCATATTCGGAGGTAACTATAATCAACATTTTGGCATGTTTCAGACTTTTCCTCATGTAAAAATATACATATAAACTTTAAAAACCAAATAAAACAAAATAATATTTCCCTATCACTCTGAAATCTGTTTTCTTCTCTCCATTTAATATATCGTAAAAGGTATTCCAAGGCACTAAGTATAGTTTTGCATCTTCATCTTTCACGAGTGCGTAGTGTTCCATTGTTAAGCTGTCTGTAGTTTAAGCAGTCTCGTATAGCAGGATCTAACACTTACTTCTAATACTGCAACAAACATTTATCTTCATTTATCTTTGAATCCTTCTCCAACTGCTTCGTAAGGATTACTACTGACAACCAGATTTGCTGGGTGAAAGGTATAAATATCAAGATTTTTGATACATGGTTCCAAATTGTCTTCAGGAAGAGCTGCACCAATTAACACTCCCCAGCAACCCAGGAGTACGTGAGAATGCTCACTTCCCTTTCCCCTCACTGACACCAAACATGATCGTTGTTTTAATCTTTGCTAATACGACTGACATCACATAACAATTTGCATTTCTTTGATTACTCCCCGAGGGTAAGTACTTTGTAGTCTGTTTACTGATTTTGCGTATCAGTGCTGTGAAATGACTGCACATGTTCTTTCACTAGTTTTCTCTTGGGATAGTTATATTCCCAAACTATTGGTATAGTTTGAAAGAATTCCTTTCTATATTAAAGACAATAACCCTTTGTCACACACCTTAGTTATATGCATTTTAACTTTTATTATGGCTTTTTTATGTTTTTTATTTTAAAAGCTGTTCTGCAATATGGCTGTTATTTTGTACGTATGTAGAGGATCTAGTAATATTATTCCTTTATGTGATCTGCCTTTGATATCCTTCTAAGGCAGCCCTTTCCCACAACAAGATTATATAATTACTGACACTTATTTCAAATACTTTTATTTTCTATAATAAAATCCTTAGTTCATATGAAATTCATCCTGGGTTTGAGACGGAAAGTAGAGACCTACATCACAGCACCGTTCATTGAATAGTTTATAGCCCTGATTTAAGATGCCACCTTTACACGTGTTGACTGTTTCTGAACTTCCAGAATGTTTTAGTTCATAGATGTGCTGGTCTAGTATGTACCAGTAACCTGATGCTTTGATATCTGAAATACAGTCATATAACAATGGGGACATGTTCTCAGAAACGCATCGTTAGGCGATTCTGTAGGTCTGCGAACATCATTGAGTGTACTTACACAAACCTAGATGGTAAGCCTCCTATACACCTAGGCTGTATGGTACTATCTCAGGGACCATCTTTATACTTGTGGTCTGTCGTTGCCCAAAACGTCATTATGTGGCGCAGGACTGTATACTTTAATATCTAGTAGGGTACACCCATCCTTATCACTCATCTTTTTGAGTTTTTCTAGATGACTCTAGACATTTGGCTTTTCTAGGTAAATTTCAGAATCACTTTGTTAAATTTACCCTTTCTGCCAAGACTTATCCTCTCAATCTTATTAATGTTTTATTAAATTTGAAGATCAACTAGAAAAATATTCACATCTTTTTATCTCCATATCTAAGAATGTATGGAATGTCTCAGTATTTATTCAATTCAATTAAAAACCTTCTTTAACTCTAGGACTTCAAACGCTGGCTAAATGTATTAAAATCTACAGAGGCCTACTGTTTGTGGCTCTAAAACACACATGAAAAACAAACATAAAAGTTTGCTTTTTACCTTCCATACATATATGTATGAAAGAGCAAAAAAAAGTCTCCAAGTATCCACCTGGATCTAAACGATAATCTTGCTATAAAAGTTAACTCTCCCTTAAACAGAAAAAAGTTATCCTCATCTTACATGTAATACATTTCGTGGCACTGTGGGGAAGACTAAATGAGGTAGTGCCTTAAAAGCTCTTTAAAAAGTACCTGGAGCATAAGAATGCTCAATAAATGTGAGCTATAATAATTATTATTCGGAAATTTCAAATTGGGACTTTCTCTGGACTGGCTAATACATGGGTTGGGTTCTGACTAGAGCCAGAGCTGAATGACAGAATGTGTATGCTATCCCTCATTCCTGCCAGTAGTAGCAGTAAACCAATAAGATCTTTCCAGAAATCTCTCCCCTTCGTGCTTCCCAGACTGACTATAAAACAAAAGGAAAAGCCCACTCGACAAGTAACCCAACCCCACTTCTCTCACAAAAACACAAAGCTTCTCTCTGGACATAGTGCCATACCTAATAATAACAGCAAGAGAAAAACAGAAGAAACCTGAGGTAACGCTTATTATGAGCAGTGGCTGTTTAAGATACTGACTGCTAAATAATAAATCAGATTTTCAGAATCTAGTACTGACTTCATTATGCTCTTTGATAAACCACTAGCTGCCAAAGTTCCTGAGGGACAACAATATCACTGTGGGGATGAGGGCAAGAAATGAGGTGCATTCAGAAGAATTTTTTTAATAATAAACTAGACAGAAAATTATTTTTTTAATAACTTGCATCTAACGAATAAACTCAGCTGGGGATTATATGTATTAAATTTAAAGCACACAACATGTATCAAAAAATAAGGGCATTTTAAACCTAATACGGTAAGCAATCTATTGGGTCCAAAAGACAGAAGATACACCCATGCTATTCTAATTAGAAAATATCGGAATACAGAAGCTAATAACTTTCGAGTACAGTAGCTGGACCAAGAAATCTATGATGAAAAGACCCAAGTTATTAGGTCCTTTTATGTGTCTGTGCCACCTCTTTTATTTTATCAAAATAACACAAGCACATCGTTTTTAAAGCTGTGACGCCTTTAACAAAAACCAGCAGTTCAGTGTCCCAACCCTCCTGCCCCCGTTTCCAACACCTGTTCTAAAACCCTGTTTCCAACCCCTCAGAGACAATTACAGTCAACTCTTCTGGCTGTTTCTCCTGTTTTTAACTTTAGATACTATCTACTGACTTTCTAATAAGAAGATGCCTCTTGTAACTCCCTCACCACATAGAAGCTTCTCCCAATATAGTCATGGGAGAATACTGATTTCCGGCTAAATCAATACTCAGAGTTAACATTATTAACATGATAATGTAAATACTGTTCACAGCTGAACCACAGAGTATTCTAAGACTAAATTTCATTTCTTATCCAAGTTCTTTGCTTTTTTACCCCCAAGTTAATGTCTGCTTCTCTCAAGAACACAATGCTTTTAACACAAAAAGTAAGCTTAAGTCACAGGTCGAAGACCAGGGAAGAGTGAAGCTAATCTGAGAGAATCATTGAACGATGACATTTACAACTAGGGTGTCCCGACTTAAGAAGATTGTTCCACATGTCATAATATTCTAGAGTTTTCCATCTATAAAAGATAAAGAGCATCTTCTAATGCAAGAAAAGAGCACAAAGCCAGAGAGATTTCCCAAGTTCACTGACAAATGACTGAAATAGGCAGTTCATATAACTGCAGGAGACTCTGCTGACTGTACATTTTCTTGATTTGAAGGTAAGAAAGGAAAGTGTTACAAGTCCCTAACTAATTTTTAGCCTGCTCACTGAAAAGATGCACATCGAAACATATTTCCCAAAGTTGTGTGTCAAACAGAGAAATCTCAGGCCTACAAATCTTCAGTGGCATGAGTAATTCCCACGTAAACTGGATAGTACATAAATCTTCCGACTTTCATGTTTTGACCTCCAAGGCAGGACGTTTGTATATCTTTTTAGGGGAGCAGTTTCCAAATTTATAAATTCTGCTTTTCTTAGAAACATCACTGCCAACTCACATCCTAGAAATGCACGTGACTCCTCTTCGTAGAGTTCTATCTACAATTGCCTGCTTTCTTTGCTCATTAATAGAATCATCTGAAGACTGTTTCAAAGTCCACAGGTCCTCATTCTGAACTATGGAAAAATTCTGGCAGACTAATTTTTCTTTTAAGTTAGGAGATGCATTTTACAATAATTTGAAAGTTTATGAGAAAAATACACATTTTCTCAGAAACAATTATAGTGCAAATGACCAATATTACAGCCTCCAAGAACATTTTAAAAATATCAGAAATAGTACCCTCCACCACCAAAATATCTACTTCTCCCCAAAAGTAAAGAGATGCACAAAACACTGGCCAACAATGAGATGAACAGCTTTTTATATATTCAAACACATATTTAGTTTATGTTGACTCAGACTTATTTTTTTTAAGCAAGCAAAATATAAATAACAAAATTAAAAAATACATTTCATTCACCCTTTCCTATAACGAATAAGTGTTAGGTAAATAAAAAGTGATTTAAATTTTGACATAATGAAGTAGGAGGGGAGCCCAGGAAAAATGTCCTGGGTTGATAATATTTAGTTAACACTTTGATGTTACTGACATTTGTCAGAAAATAAAACTACATAAATATGTTTCAATCATATCATG